TACCTGTATAATGGAAGGTAAATATCAGTGTGTACTTTTGTCAGTATATAAAAGCTGAAGGCTGCAATTCTGTTTTATTTTTTATTTGATAACTTATAAACAAAAATTTATTAAGGATGGTTCCTGAATTCAAGAACTATATTAATTTTTATCTTTCGTTTTGTAACCAGTTTGCTTCAAAATTAAATTTGCTGCTTGTGAAATTATATGGAACATTTTTCTTTTAATTTCTTTTACCATAACTATTAAGTAACTCTATTTATTGAGTAAATTGAAGCACACTTGCTACTTGTGAACTGGTTGGAGTAGTTTAATCAATATGGAAATTTCTGCATATATACAAGTGACAAGTGTTGCCAGTTATATAACAAAAATATTCCGATATTTCAAATATTGATTAAATTTGCTCTTGTACATACAAACACAGATGTTCATGTGCACACAATGTGGAGAAATTTAAAATGGAAGGTTTGGGTGCAGGTATTGAAAATTTACTTTGACATTGGTGCATTATTAACAGACCTTCAGCATTTTTATTACTCTAGTTAAACTATTCGTTAACCATTATTTGATGTGATAAGTCTAGCTGGCTGCCACGTTTAAATCCCCATTCCCATTAAATGAAGTTACATATGAATGAGGCATATGCATATTTTGATATAATATTATTGCTATATTTAAATGCTAAAAGAGCATTAAAATTGAGTGAATGCACAACACAGGGAAGTGAAAGGTACGGCAGGTTGTGTTAATGATTTCATACAATGTTGGTTGGTTGGTTTATTTGTTTGCTGTATTTTGATAATATATTAACATGTTCCATATTTTTTGTTTTGTAAGTTGATCTTTCATACAGGACTCCTTGCTGCATTATTAGGTCAGACATATTTCAGGTCATTGAAAACGAGCAAATATTTTCAAAGTGCCTTTGCTACCGTCATTGTGTTTTCCGCAGGTCTGGGGACCATTCCATTAACTTTATGATACTTTAATCATTCAGCCACACTTTAAAACATTTCTCTTCTGTAGCTTGGTTAGTAAAGTGTCTGGGCATTAACAAGATGATAGGCAATCAATTTCTGATGGGAATTTTTATTTATTTATTTGTAGTTTATTTTATAATGATGTCAAAAGTTCAAAATTCGTAGCACTGAATGATGGATTGGAAAGTATGTGGAAGGACATAGTCATGGTCTAATTTAAGGTATTGTCCTAGCATTTTCCTGCAGGAACTGATGAAAACAAGAAAATATGTCAGGATAACCAGTCTCTAGTCTGAGATTTGTACCTGGTACCTCCTGGTTATGAAGAAAGAGTACTAATTACTCATCCACAAAATCGAGTGGGAGGTTTGTTATTTATTTTCATAATCAGGTCCAGAATGGCTTGAGGACTCACTCAGCTTCTTGCCTGAAGCATACTGGGCCTTTGCAGAAAGTTTCTAGAGGGAAGGTTTGTGGTGATAAATATGTGTAAAGATCAGTAAGCTTATTGTTATAAATTTACTTCAACGTGCCTCTACAACTTTTGTAATATTTTAATTGTAGTAAATGTAAACTCCTTTGGTAGTTAAATTATTTGTATAGAAACAGTAAAAGTGTAATTTTGTCTGGAAATAGGGTTATTAGGAACACGTAGTGGGCACATACACAGCAGGAAAAATTGTCTCATATCACGATCTGTAAAATAAGAATGTAAGACATTAAGGATGAAAACATTGCTCCAAGTATCTGTGTACCGCATGTTGCATCCACCTTCAATTGTTTTATTGTATAGTAGTTCTTTAATAATTTACTGTGGAGTGTCTTACATCGCATTGCCATCTGTTGTGTACTTGAGCTATGTGAGAATTTTCCAAACTACCAGCAGACTGTACTAATATAGGCAATGAAATCCCTATTTCTTTAGAGTGGAAAATGATACCATATCATGTACATAGGTTATGTGTTTTATTCCAAAGATACGGTATGAAAATTGGTGTGCAAGCCATATATTAGGTTTGTCCATTCTCATTCTTAAAGTGCTAAAAAATATTTGACATTTTCATTACACTTGATGTAAAGATGGGTTAGGAAATTGTTTTTCACATTGGAAAATATTTTAGTAGTTGTATGAATTTCATGAAAAGCTTTGAGGACCACAGAGTTTTTCTTATATTGCCTTTAGTGTTGCAGATTATACAGAATGTGCCATTTTTAAATACAATTCAACAACAGTCGTGTACTGCAGTACAAAAATGAAATTGGAAAGGTCCACCCCCATGTAATGGTCTCTCCCACCCGCTTTTGTGACCCTCAGTTCAAGGTCACCCTGCTTGCTTACCATTTTGTGCTGATACAAACATTGTGTATGTATCTGTCGAAGAAATTCTGTTTGAATAACTCGCAAAGCTCAGAAGAGCGGAAACATGATTCTGAAGAAACTTGCCAACATTGACCCAGACACACTGATAAGGGGTGATTGCTTCTTTTTGAGATGGCGGTGGACATTTTCAGCAGCTACTGTAATGCTGTTATGTATTTTCTTCCTGACAAAAACTAAAAAATAACTTTTCCTGTTGTTGTGATGTCACCAAAGCATAGATACTGCTGTAGTTGTGGTTGTGTTTTAAATGGAACACATAAAAGTGCCCGAAATAAATCCAGGAACAGACTTCTTAAGGTCAAAAATTTGTAACACTTGGATCCTTATTTATTTGTAGAACAAAGTTCTCAACTTATCATGTCGCCTAGATGAAGTTAATGTATCTAGTTTTTATGTGTGGAATTTGCAAGCTTTGTATGTAGAATGTGTTTTCCAGTCTCCAGAAGAGGATATTTTTTTATTGGCACAGATGTAGCTAAAACAGAACTTTAATCTTTAAGTGGAAGCGTGCACATATGTGATCTTGGAGGAAATTGGGCTAGGTGCCAAGAATATAAATAGCCATTAATATTATATAAAAAATACTGTACATACATGGTAAATATGGTTCTTGTTGAGGAATGTTGAAGTCGTGAATAATTTCGTCTGCATACTAAAATATTATTTGCTCTGTTGATAAGTTCTGTGCATTTGCTTGCATACGTGGTCTCCCATACCGGAAGTATTTCGTCAGATATCAATAAGCTTCGTGACATTTAAAATTGTAGTCCATATGGACCATTTCTTGTAATGTGATTATATATTCCAAGTTTAATCAGAACATTGTTTGTATGATCACTTTTTAACTGAAGAGATTGTCTTGTATTTTTTAGTATGCATGACTGAGTTTCAGCACATTTAGTGAGTGATTACTTCTGTAAACATCGTGAATTATAGGTTTATATGCTGCATCATATTTTTAGATTTTATTGTACTGGTCAGTGTTTCCATGAAAGCTTATGCTACAGAGAACCCTGTAAGTGTTTTACAGATATATATTATTATGACATGCACAGTAGTAGGGGTAAAAGAATGCATGTAACTGTATTGTGGCATTAGTAATTTATTTTGTGTTTTTGTGATGTGTGTAAGTCAAATTATGCTTGACAAAGCAGCTGGTAGGTTTTTGAAAATCACTGCCTCCTTGTGTTTCTAATCAGATGTATATTTCAAAATGTTTCCCACCAATCATTTTCTCCCTGACTAGAAGCAGGTACAACAGAAAGATGGGCCTCGTGTTTTCCTGTGCTCCTAGTAGTGGTAACTTAGAGATTAAAGAGTTGTTTGTTGGTGTCAGAATGTTCTTAAATATTAAGATGGCTGTCTTCTGGGTTGTTGCACCATGTAATATGGTAGAAGTTTACTGATGTTTCAGAGGTCCTTTCTACCTCCATCATCGCCCTGATGATGGATGCAGCAAGGACCTCTGCAACTTTGGTGGACATCTACCAGACTACACGGTGCAACAACCTAGAAGACAGCAGTCTTGAGACTCGCCACTGTGGAAACCCCAAATCCTACATTCTTAAATATGAATGCTAACACTTGCAGCAAATTTCTTAAAATAATCTATAATTATATTATTGTTAGAATGAAGGTATTTAAAACAAAGCAAGAGTTTGCATAAATATATGAGCCTGTAAATAAAATAGCACATTTAATTAGCTGAAATAGTGTGAATGTAACAAACAGGTGTCAAAAACATATGTTTATTTTCTCATTATAAACCCTCCAATTTGAATCAGTTGGAAATATAAATTTTTCATTGTTGCCTACAAGTGTCAGATAAAGACTAAACTTTTGTGTGCTTTAGTGATAAATACAGTTGTGCATATGGACTGGAAACAAAACGTAAAGAAAAATTGAAGAGTATAAATTTTTGTGTTCAAGCATACTGCCATCGCTCTGCGTTGAACTTTTGAACCATTAGAGCGTAAGGTTATGGAAGTACAGAGTGACTTAGAAGCAAGAAAAATTGTTTTATTTTCGAAAATGTATTGAACCTGCTATCCAAACTCATTTTACATGATGAAACTAATAGATTGTTGTGCATTGCATAATTTAAATTTTGTCCAGCCAGTTTTCTGTCTCTCTCTTTGTTTATGAGCTGTTTTAGCATTATTATCACAATCAACATTTAACAATAACTAAACACCCTGACAGGTATTATTGTTTGTAGAGATCGATTTTATTTGTTCATAGATAAGTAAGAATACATCCTATATTGATATTTTTTATTGCCTCTGGATCTGAATTATGGATTGCTTAATCAGCCTGTCTGTTACCAAATTGTTTACTTCTAATTATTATTAACAGCAACTAGAAATTTGTATTATTTATATTAGGTTCTATGGACATTTGACAGCCTTGAAATGAATTTAATATAGCTTTACAGTGAAACCTGCACAAGTATGTAGATTGTGTTTTACCTAAAAGCTGATCAGTTTGAAGTCGTTTACCACGTAGTAAGATAAATCATCTTCCTAACATTGTGTGACATCAGTTTTCTTACTTACATTGTCTTTTAAGTGTGACATGCCATAATGAATGTGAATATTATTAATTCTGTCCATTCTTCCATTCTCTGCCTGTTCAAGATATTAAGGGAAACAGTAAGTAGATTACCATTTTGAACCTTTCCCATATTTGTTCTGGTTTAGTATTTCATCTTAAATTTACACGTGCTTTTGTACATACTCTTGGTAGTTTTGTTCGTACTATTAATTTAAAATTCTGTGATTTTGTCTTTGTTTAGTTTCTGTTGTTTTGCACAAATCATGCTACCAGTGCATTGTTGTCAGTCTCGTGTTAACCAATTATTTTGTTCATTCCTCAAATTTGGGATCATTTTAATTTGGAACTGGACTTGACGTGCATATTAATTTATTTTCATAGGAAATGTTATTTGCAAAATTTGCTTTATGAGTTTCTACTGAGCAGCATAGTGAGTACTTTATACAGACATTGTTTTATATTTAATTTCCATCCTCGTCGCTTATGCATGTATGTCTGCTTGTGTAGATATGACAGAAATGAAGAATACTATCTATAAAAATCTTTAAAAGTTGAGCCTGTAAAGACATAAATTTCATACATTGTTCACATATTTTCTGGACAAATTTAACAGTAATCTAGAAGCATATATTAGATGTGTCCATTTTTGTCCATAAGTTTTCACAGCCAGAGTTCAGTGTGTAACATCAGTTTTTGAGATAGGCCACGTCAATGCATCTTATCTCCGAAAACCGAAGTTGCACATTTCCAGTTGCCTCTGCATTTAATTTAGTCCTCTAGATTAACAGATTTGTATGAAAGTTGATATCATCAGTGCTAACTGAAATTAATAAATTTTAATATTGTTTCAAACGACCATAAATACACACTGATTACATTGAAGGTTTATCATTTAATAAGAAAATTATTTGTTACTTTTTTCACATGATTTTGTTTTTGAGGTGCTTAGCTAATAATATTTTACTTGACTGAATCGATGCGTGCCAAATACTGGCTATCAGGTAGTAAATTGATTTCATAAATGTAGAGAAAAGTATACAAAGTTATGGTTGGAAGCCATGAAAGCATGTATTTATGTATGTATGAAACAATGTTTGATTGTATGAAATTTAGTGAATGTCTCGTGCATACCTGTTAAAATGTATAGTGTATTAAGACATTTGTGAAGCAATTTTAAAATATCTAAAATGTGGAAAATTTAGTGAATGTCTCGTGCATACCTATTAAAATGTATAGTGTATTAAGATATTTGTGAAGAGATTTTAAAATATCTAAAATGTGGCGTATGGATTTCTTAAAGATTCATTATATTAATTTCATATGGAATCGTGCGTGCACATTGCACTGTATATATGCAGATAATCAAAGCACAAAAGTGATGTGTAGAAGATGGCTGTCATCTGAGATGTAGTGCTGCATAGTGATAGATAATTGGTCTATGTTTCAGAAGAACTTATTGCCTCCTTCATCAGGGTGACAAATAATATGTGTGCACAGAAAGGCCAGAGTTCTGCCTTGTCCATCCTTCTCATGTATCTAACATAGCCTTTCCACACATGGTTTATTTATCACCCTGATGATGGAGGCAGTAAACTTCTCTGAACCATAAATTAATATCTACCAGACTATAACATGCTATGTTCTAGAAGACAGCTATCCACATTCTCATCACCATGAGAACCTAAAATCTCACTTGGTATTTAGAATGTTGATATAAATGAGATGCTGATATTTGCACTTTGAAGTTAATACGAAAAATACATAATTACTGCACTGACATTTAGTAATAAGTTATTTTTATCAGAAGTTTACAATTTTCAAAGATTTTTTCCCCCCTTTGTATTAAACGAGAGTTTACCAAGTATGTACTATATGTTTAGGTTTTGAGGTTTTCACGGCAGTGAGTTTGAAGATGGCTGTCTTCTGGATTGTTGCACTGTGTACTTTGATCACCCTGATAATGGAGGCAGCAAGGACCTCTGGAACGTCAGTACACTTCTACCAGACTGCATGGCGCAACAACCCAGAAAACAGCCATCTATATATTATATGTATCTGATATCAGCAATAGAAGATTTAATGTTAATATTTGAAGAAAACAGATATGCAGTGGGAAAGCACTGGTTCATAAAGTTTTTCATTGCCGAAAGGGTTTTCATCAATGGCTGTGTGCAGTATTCCGTCCACATCCTGTAACGTAATCCAGGATGTTAGAAGGATTTGTTTGTTTTGGAAATGTCAGAAGTCTGTTCCTGATGATGGCAGAACTGCTGAGCTATTACTGGTAAAATAATTCATTGTGATGAACCCTGTATCATAGGCTGACAGACATGTGAAATGCTGACCAGTTTAGAAGACCTAATTGATCTATGGAAATAAACATTCATGATCATCAGTTTTTTTCTAAAAAAATGCTGAATAAGTGCCAGAAAGCCACATTATGTGCATCTATAGTGCTAATGGGAAGAGAAAAGTGGTTTTAATGAAGGGATAAGAACATTTTCTGAGATTTGTGTACACCATTACATCCCATAATGTAAGAGAACATCACAGAAATAGAAACAGATAAATTTGCCTACAGCAAATGTTTTAAAGAGATGATCTTGGAATGGTGAACCATGGTTTATGTCTTTTAATATAATGTGTACAAGAACATGTTCAAAATAAGAAATAAATTTTACTGTGTAGGGCACTTGTTATTCAGGAAGATAATACATGGCTGCATATATCCAAAAATAAATGAAAGCTCTTGAGGAAGTTCGGTATGAAGTGCTTCAACAGCCCTCATGAACTCCATGCATAGATCCTAACATTTTGGCCCACTGAAGGAATGAATAGGAGGCAGGAAGTTTCAACATGATGAACAGGTACAGCATCATGTCTGTAATTTTTTTGCAGAAACTTTAAAAGATGATACAGCTAGGTTTACAGAGCAATGATAAAAGTGATAATGTGGCATTGGAAGGTAGAGAAATTGAACTGTCAAAACTTACAGCAAATGTACAGGGTACGAGATAGTTCTGGAATTTTATTCTCCTAGTAATATTGGGAATTTGTAATTTCTTTAATTCATAGTTTTCTTTGAATGGAATATTAACCCTTTAATGCGGAGTGGTAGCCATATATGCAGCTAGCTGTTATAATGGTGAGTAACGTACATTTTGGATTTTTCATGATTTCCATCATAAAAAAGGATTATTTACTTAAACAGCATTAAGCAGTTGATCTTTGTAATGATGAAATGTTGTGTTTTCTTTGAGGTATGGACTGAATTCTTAAATGTTATTCAGACGAGCTTTGCCTTCAGAGGGTTAATAATTAAGACAACTGCTATTAAATTAATTGAATTAAATATGTGGTGATGTGTAAAGAGTTTAACATTTTTAATACATACATCAGCTTTTTTCCCTTCTTTTGAGAGAGTGAGGGGCGTCATTTCAGATAAATTAGGCATATCGAAAAGCTTGTCTTGGAAAACAAATGTGAATAAAATTTTACAGTTATGAAAATACTGTTTGCCTAGTAAGGGATTAACACCAAATCATGTACCTTTCAACCAACACTTCTGTACACTTGTCAAAAGCACAGTTTGACTTTATTTATCATATTTTTAGGCATGTGCCCTGAAATGAAAGGAGCACATAGGATATTCTGTGACCCCTATCACTTTCATAAAAATACAGCAATATTCACAAGAAAACTACAAAAATTATGTGACCAGATACCATTTGAATGTTTTGCTTTATAAATCCATTTTTTAGTATTATTAAGATAGTAATGTATATTTCTGATGGCTCGCATTTATTGCAAGATTTTAGGGTCAGTTTTGTCATATGTGAAGAACATTATGTTATGTGCAGCAACAACACCTTCTTTTATTACAGCCATGAAATTAAAGAAGAGAAATATGTGCTAAGATTTCTTATGTACATACATTCAGACAGAATAATATTGTGTGAAGAAAAATGGTAAATATAGTAAGCAAAACAAATTTCTAAGAGCTTCTGTGGTTTACAGGTCAAAAGGAAAGTGTGGTTGGTTGAAGATGGCTGTCTTCTTGATTGATGCACCAAAAAGTCTAGTAGAAGTTTACCGGAGTTTCAGAGATGCTTAGCGCCTTTAACATTTGGGCAGTGAATCCTTGTTTTGGAGTAGAAAGCACATCTGAAGTGCCGGTAAGCTTCTGCCAGACTACTCGCAACAATTCAGAAGACGGCCATCTCCATATTTGCCACCATCATAACCTAAAATCTTATTTATAAGACTTTGCTTACTTCATGAAAATGATTTGATCTATAATTCTAAGCAGTGCACTTACAATTTTTGTTTCATTACAGAGGTATATTAACAAAATTTTGTACTATTCTGAGAGCTATATAAACAACAGCCTCTATTGCACAAAATCATATTCAAAGAACGTGGCAATGATCTGTATGACAGCCATTTTATGGAAATTCTTAGTTCACAATGTGCTCTTTGTATAAGTGAATTGTTACATAACTTATGTTGTAATATTTTAAAGTTTTTCAAATTGATGGTTTTGCATGTGTATGTTAGCAGCATATGGATCAAAATATTGAAAAATGAACAAGATTTAGGGTAATAATACATAATCATGAAAGCTGTCATTGCTCAGTTAAGTGACTGGCTAAAAATTGCGTGGTCAGGTGTCAACGTTCCTGGGATCTGAAGATGGCTGTCTTCTGGGTTGTTGCGCCATGTAGTCTGGTAGATCTTTACCAACGTTTTAGAGGTCCTTGCTGCCTCCATCATCAGGGATCGCCGTGAAAACCTCAAATCCTACGATGCATGGACCTTTTGATGAATCCAAGATGGTTATGGGGCTTACATATTCTGTTCAGTAAATGTGGGGATGAGTGGTCAGTTTCATGTGTCAGTTCCAAGTGGAAACATTAAACTGTTCACCTCTGTAGTATATTAATGTTACTGTCTCCACTCCACATAAATTCATTTATGACCTGGTGCATCAAGACACAGTTAATGGTGCAAAATATATTGTTTAGACTCTCTTGTAGCTAGTCCACATTTATTAGGAACTTAGAAGTGTGAACAGCTTTATGTGGGTTTAAAAGTGGGTGGTATATGTCAACTTTTATGTAAAAGCATATTTTTGAGTATTTATTTATTAAATTCAGAACCATTCTACGATAGTAATATAAATATGCATTATATGAGTCAGCTCTTTTTATATACTTTTTTACGTTTAAAAATGTATGTGCCCATTAAGTGTTGGAGATTGTTCTACTAACGAGAAATTGAAATAGTATAGAAAATTTTATATTAGTCATTGTTACTTTATGTTTGCTGTGTTTACTTTTTTGAAGAATACTTATTGGTTGATGGAAAATTGTTTTTTGTGGATCTTGGTGATACAGTTATGTTCTGTGGGAGTGTATATGGAAGTGACAAAATATATTGCTGATATGCAAATAGACTTTATAGAATGGCTAAGACCAGACTTTAACTGCATGTGTTTCATTCTTGTAATAGTCACAGGATATGTTGCAGAATGTTGATGTGCATGTCTGCCATGTGTGCATGAAGTGTACAAGTGTAAATGTGAATTGAAATGGAACTTACAATGCTGTATCCAGAATAAATGTGTTTTGTAACAAAGTGTTGTCAAGTAATTTGTGTACATGTGCAGTTTGTTTCTGTTTAGCATGTATTGTTAATCTATTTATAAATCTTACTAGTGAGATTCAACATGAGAATTAAAAAAATTATGTGATAATGTGGCACATAATATTTTAAAAAATATAAAACCAGATGGAATAAAAATTTCATGGACATTAACTTCATCATGTGTTTTTGAAGTTTGAAGGTTTCTGATGATGGTACATTATAATATGATTGTACAATTGTTATTTTTGGACTTTTCCATCATCTAAATAACAAAAATATAGCATTTTAGAAGATTCTGTTTTCTGCCTTCAGTTAAAAAAGGAGGGTAAGAGGATATAAACCCCATCTATTGGGATTGTTATTGAGTTAGCATGAGCTTATTTTTATAATCAAGACAATGGACAAGGTCCAAACCTTGGTACTCACTTACAAGTCTGCATGGCATTACAACCCAAAAACTGTCATGAACATCTTCACTGATATGAGAACTTCAAGTCCCTTATAATGTTTAATTTTGTTTCTCTTCTGTGCCAATAGTTACTATATTAAGAACAAAAGGTGAATGATGAGCTCTGATTTAGGTTAGGTTGGTGCACTCTTCTTGAACAAAATATATTTATAGAGCATTCAGTGTTAACTCCTATTGAAAGTTAAATAAATTTTATCTCATTTTACAACACTTGAGATTGGGAGAGAGAGTTCATATAGATAACAAGATCAAGGTGCAAAATATTACATAGTGATCAGTGCAGTACATGATAGTTGTGTTCTTACTGGTTCTTAAAGGATTTCCATTGAATATCTACACTTTTGTTTGGCCAAGGACATACAGCATTTTAACCTTTACATATTTTAAATTTTTATCTCAGTTAATTTTTCATGTTGTATCGTATATACAGAAAATCTTAACAGTGAACAGCCTGAGGGCTACACACTTCTGTTGTTTATTAATTTTCTTTACTCCATTTTGTATTCATAATAGCCACAACATATAAATTAAATGTTGTGAAGGTTTAATTGTGTTTTGGACAGTCGTTAGCAAATTCATTATGCTTTGCATTAATAGATTGGAAAAAATTGTATAAATAAATAAAATCATGAATTTGTAAGGAGAAAATACTTGGGCTCATTTTAAAATAAGGAAAAAGATAACTCACTTTGGAGCTTTTACCAACTTCATGTTTTTATGCTACTGTTTTTTTTTCCAGGTCTGTATACATAAAAGTATTTTTATATACATTATGAATGTAGAATTATTGTCAGTTAATATATACCGAAGTAAAAGTCCTATTTGCTTCAACAGTCTGAATTTCTTGTAAATGGTTTTTAATTTTGAAAATTTCCAGTTAATTTATATCAATTCACAATTAATGAAAGTCATATATCAACATTATTAAAATTTGACCGAAAGTAATTAATTTAAAATTAAATTCTGAGAGGGCAAGTGTTCTGTGCACAGAATGTGCCCTATTCTTTCAGTGATATCCCAAAATATGGTACAAGACTGAATGTATTGTAGCAATCTTCAATTTAATATTCAGTGTACAACTCGTGTGGGGAAACTGTTCCCTGCATGGCAGTCAAATGTCAAAGATGTGTATTCTAATTAAAATTTATAATATAGTCAGTAATGTAACAAGGGCTCAAAAAATCTGTAAGAATCTGTGTTGTAAAATAATTGTTTGCAGCATTTCCACCGTTCTCCCATATTTTTCAGTTGCATTGTATATTCTGCTGTGGTGTATATTGTGAGATATGGAACCATATACTTCATTACAGTACTTTCACAAGTATTTTAACTAATTGATCACTATATGGCCCGGCAATAAAGTGCATGGATCTCTATGTTGGATGGTCACATTGGCATGGCTGGTAGGGTAATGACAATTGTTCTGTGTGAATCAAAATTTCAGGCATGTTGATGTTTTGTTATTCCATAAGGATACTCATATAAGAGAGACTGTTTGTAACTTCCTTGTTTTTCTTGTTTTTTTGTTGGTTCCAGATACGAGTAGTTAATGCTTTCCGTCAGGGTCTAGATACTCGGTACGGTGACAGCGCCGCCTTGGCCGAGGCTCTCCGAAAGCAGTCTTCTCTTGCTAAGCGATTTTCCCAGACTTCTTCCATTGAGTATGCAGATAATGTCATGGATGAGTTAACGATCCCCGAGATCGATGTGGAACGTTTATCATCTCATAGTCACACCGAAACTGCAGTTTAATTCTTCTGTCCTGTCGAGCTGATGCCACACACACCTGTCCCCTGCCCTGGCATCAGGCATGCCAGAAATTGTGGTGGTGATTGTGGCAGTGTTGTTGGTAATGGTGATGATTGTGATGGTGATGTTACAGCAGCCAAGAGGAATGGAACAAACTAAAAATCACGCCTTGCATTCATCACTGTTCTTATATACTTATTATTCAGTTAAATGCACCACCTGTGAAGTTCATTACAGCCTACTGAAAACAGACTACAAAATGTAAGAACAGCTTTCTCCAAAAAAGGAACTCTATGATGTAAACAAATTGATAGTAGATTTTTCCAATTTTCCTCTTACATTGTCTTATCCCAACAATGTCTTCAGTTTCTTTTATTTTTAAATCTATCCAGGTTCATGGCTGTTGTCATCCCGACGTCTTTATTCCTCCGCCCATCTGGCGTCATCCATTACACCATCTGGTCACCCACGTGGTGCAAGTTCATGTGGTGTTGAACTTAACTGACAGTGTAATTCATTGATTTTCCAAAAGACAAATTAGATAAGGTAGTTGCAATGGGCGTGGTGTTAAGCTGGACAACGCAACAAGAGTTGAGGTCTATATGCATGTAATTATTGTAAGATAATTTAGCTCGTAACTTCAAGATGAAAAATATTAAGACATTATGCCAAGTGTCTTTTAAAAGGGGAGGCCAAAGCCTTGTTTGAATGCGATGTTGAACAGTGTGGAAAATATTTTTTTTTTTTTTGCCTCCCCTTGTTTAAAAGTCAGTGCCGGGATTCGAAGCAGTAGTTGTAGAGTTCATGTCAAATCTTCTTTGGAAGCAAGTAAGGAGTAAACTGAATGCTAATGGCTCTGCACGGTGCATGGAACCTGCCCAGGCCTCCTAACTCCTCTCATCTTTGAAATGAGAGGATTTGTTATTGACTTTTTCTTGGTGTAATTCTTGTTCCTGCTAGCAACTAGGATCATCATGTTGAAGTTGACACTGTTAATATTATGTTTGTAACCACGGCAGTAGTGAAAAGGAAGATGCTACCTCCCTTCCAGTCCAGATCAAGATGGCAGAGCTTCAGATACAGAAACGCATTGAGGGAGGAAGTGGAATTGTGAGCAATACCAAACGTCACACGGTGCCCGTGGTTACTGTTACTATTTTCTGCTCTGAAGAAGAAAGTTTACCAAGTTGTTGAATGTTCTTTACTATCAATATTTAAATCTGAAAATACTCCTCTGAGCAAGCCATTTTGTTAGACTGGGTTGTTGAGCAATGTGTAGTTACATAATGTAGTGAAGTTGCTGCAAAGCTTGCATTCAGTCCTGCCCGACAAGCATGGATGCCGAGCCGCACTGTCAGTTGTTTGTCAGGAAGTGATGGCCCAGTGTCAGGGTCGTCATTTCTCTTCTTTCAAGAAGAAACTCCCCCCTTCCCCTTTGTGCTCTAGTTCACTCTGTAAATCTGTTGTGTGACTGCAATTTTCTGTCTGTATAAAGAGAAACAAATTCTAGATGTTGCAAATATGCATTAGTTTATAAGAACTTTCCATGGGCTGTTAAGAGTAAATTAAAGTATCAACTCATTGACTGATAGAGGTTTGCATCTGTATGTAGGGATAAAATAAGAAACTAGTCTCACCAGATGTACTGTAGAATTCACTTAGGATACAAGCCATGCCACTGGTTTTGTCCTTTTCGCTCCCCATAGACTTGCCAGTGTGACAACCACTACTACTTTTTAACATGACAATTGCTGATGTAACGCAACTGTGACAGCAGTACCCATGACCGCTATCATGATGACTGTACTCTTGAAGCCCCTACAGTGACAAAGGTTAGCACCCCACTTCGCTCTGGTCACATGCTCCGAGAGATGTGAGATGACGCTCAAGATTTCTTGAGTTATAGGACAATGGTGACATTGCCTGTTGTGTTTACAAGCTTACGTAGAGTCAAACCAACCAAAGGCAAGTCTTGGATCATATAAACTTCTAAAAAAATAAACGAATCAAAGACCTTAATATTCTAGATGATGCCTGTTCTCTGTGTTAATACCAAACTTAAAGAGAGTTGCGCAACTCATAACCTTTAATTTAGCTCTAGACAGGGATTTGGCAGGCAACATCCTTAATTTTTTCTACTCCAGTCACATGAGTATTATGTTTTCTTAAAGGTTTTATTTCCATCCATTGTTAATGGCTATTAATTAATCATTTTTACAAAATAAATTTTTAATGTCTCAATACCTTGTTGAAAAAATGGTGTGCATTCTTTATTTGAATGGTACCCTTGAAACCCGTTAGATCTTAGGACTGCATCAATATTTTTGATCTCGGTTTGTTCTCTGGAAGAAGCTGTTGCATCAGTTGTAGATACATGTGCTTGGTCTTTATAAGAAGAAGATTGTTTGCACTAGTGTCGAAAGTCACTAATTATTCATTGTATGCTGTTAAAATTATTTCTGTAAAACCTGCAGATGTTGAGCATATTATGTGCCTTATGTCTATGCTTTCTTTGTTGAAATTGTAATTTTGACTGATTAAAAGTGAGCTTGATCTAATCTCAGGGTTCTAAAAAAAAATCACCCTTATTGAAATTGCAACAGCTGCATTCCGTCCTCGGTAAGAGTGTGAAATGGCGAGCAACGAACCTAATGAAGGCGCAGTGGCAAGTTTTAAAGTGATGGAGTGAGTATTATTTCTTATGTAAAAACATATTCATATTAGGAAAATAAAATGAATGATGAGAAAGTTGGATGTCAAGACAAGAAGAAGAGAGGAAATTCTACATTATTCCTCCATTCCCAAGGTGTACCACTTGTTCAACATTTCCACTTCCTTCCTGTTTTATTTGCAAGAACAAGACAATTTGTATTTTTTCATGTGGGAACACTACCTGCAAAAATATAAATTTACCTGTCTGTACTGCATTGAAGATTCCGAACGTAGTGGAACCTTATGACTCAATAACCTGCCTACAAGTTGAAGAAATTTGATTAGAAACATATTAAAATCTGTGTTATTTATCTAAAATTGTATAATATTTTGATAATTTTTAGTTTATTATCACATAGTATATTGCAGGTTCCCATTAGTAAAAATATTTAAAAGTACCACTTGGACAGTTTTGATTCATGTTTTTCTGCAGAATAAGAAAACCTGATAAAACTCCTAATTGTAATATTTTTAATGTTAAAACTGATCAGTATGCAAAAATTAATGTAATTCAATGTAAATTTAATCATTTTCTGAAATGATTTTAATTTCTTAATTGAATAAGCAATCCACAATAGAATTTTGTATATTCATCCCCTTTTAAGAATTGAGTTCATAGTTGGAACTAACATTGCCTACTTCAAATTGGCACATCATTAAAGCAAACAGGAATGGAAAAGTAAAATATAATTAAGTGGAATAATTTTCATGGTTTGTACATATTCATGTATTTCACTAATAGAAAATGCTGGCTTTGAAATATGCTATTTTGATTCACAGTGAAATTAAATTGAAATGCACAGTTTCTGAACCCAGGTCCAACCTCTTCAATGGAAATTGTAATGGAGTCTCCAGGGCATGTTCAGTAAGGAATTTCCTGGAATGTCTGAAAACAGTTATGAAAAATGTCTACATTATGGGCCTTCTACATCCTGAATTTTCAATTCAAAGCTGACTGCAGCAAGCAACTACAACATGATTAATTATCTCACCATTTCAGAGCCCTAAAAATACGAAGTTGCCCTTATTTTGTTTGTGCAGATCAAAATGTAAAATTTAGTCCAAAATATGATTTGCATTTGTTGATATTACTTCCTCCACCCTTATTTTAAAAAATAATTCTGAATTTACCAAGTGTTAATTGACTCAGATGCAGCTGATTTGTATTTAAGAGGTAATCTCTTAAATCATATTGAATTTCAACCAATGATTGGCTATCCTGACTGAGGATTTTGTTTTCCTCAGTTCCTGTAGGCGAGGACCAGAATAATATGTGTAAATAAAGTTGGTCATTTCCTCGCATGATCTTTCCTATTTATCATTCATCGTCATCCTGTTATTTCTCTTCCAGCACTACACAACTTCTGCAGTTAATATAGCATCATAAAATAACTACATAAATAAACGGGGCCTGTCTTACTGTCAGTATCGCTGTCTCGTTTTTCCTCATCATGAAGCACCCCAAGCAGTTTTGCCCATCGTGATTTTTCTTAAAATGTACTGTTTCAGAAATTTATTTTGTTTCTATATTCATGCATGGGGGAATCTAATCTAGTCTCTCATACCTAAAAATGAACATATAACTTTTGAAATGTTATGTTTGAAGCAAAGAAGATGATAGCTAAGTATAAGGAATTCAAATGTGGTACAGTTCCATTAGGGGCATTCAGATAACATATTTATTACTCATTTT